TTTTGATAATAGATCATTCGTTGCCACGAAATACGTGGCCGAAAGGCAAAATTAGTAGAACGCTACCGGGACCAGACGGTCACACCAGAGTGGTTGACGTCATTACTAGCACAGGTATCTTGAGGAGACCTACATCCAGAATAATAGTCCTGGTACCCGCGACGCCTCCCAAATGATGGTGCTAACGCACGGGGGGGAGATTGTTGGCGACGCGCCTATAAGAATATTTCAGTTTATTAAGTCAACCGATGACGAATAACGTCTCAAAGGCATATTGTCCAATAGCAATGTTCTAATAAGAAAATGCTTAGTTAAATCTTGAAGAAATGTCGAATTAATGATATGAAGGTCTTGGGTTCGACTCCCAGGCCGGACTAGTTTATTGTTTTCCTAAGTAATATCTTTCAATAAATTCATATAGGGAATTTTAAGATATAAATTATGTTACCGGATTGGTTCCCCGGTTGAAATCATCTTTCCAATGATGTAAATTCAAAGGAATATTAAAGTGAAGTTAGAGATCGGATTTGTTCCCCGGTCGAGATGATCACTGTGTGCATAAATAGAATTAACGGAAATTAATTGCATAAGTATTGTCTTATATAAGTTTGATATGTTTTGTACGAAAACAAATGCCTATTTGCCATGATTGATTTATGAGAACATTCACTTATATTGTTATTGATAAGAAACATGATAACTGATAAGAATCTGATTAGAAATAGTTTCCTACAGTTTGAAAATTGTGTAGATGCATTTATTCACCCAATATTGTTAAAATTGGTGTATATCAGACTTTCATTTTTTCTGATAGCCGAGAGCCGTGCAAAAGTTAGTTGTTCAAATAGTGTGAGTTCATAGACGCACGCTGGCCACGCCCTTAGGAGGCCGAATATGTAAAAATTTAAATATTTGTAATTTCAGCAATTTATGTAAAAATTACTTGTAAAACATTTCAGGTTAATTGTACGTGCTAAAAAGGTAAATTCTGTGTTATTTTTATGTGAAAATTCCTGTGTATAAGTGAAATAATGATAGTTTTGTATAAGAAATTTAAAAGTGTTTTAATAGTGAAATAAATAGAGAAAATGTAAATTAAACTATTGTATTAGTTAACATATGTATAATTTCAAGTGGAAAACATTGTTTTAACTTTCTGTGTTAAATATTTAAGAAATTTCGACTTCGAACTTGTGAGTAAAATAGGCATATTTCATTTAATAAATAAAAGGTTTTTCGTGATATGAAAATGTAATGTATATCGTAGTGTAGATATTGTTTTGTGCTATCTATACAGATAAATTGTATTGATGTAAGACTTATGCAAATAAAGAAATTAAGTAAAACGTGAGAGAGTAATAGAACAAATTCATGTAATTGAGTTGCGCAAGCGCGCGAATGGCGCGGCTCACTTTCGCGTATAGCTCTGGGGTAGCTTAGTGAACGGGTTTTATTGCAATTCGTTCGGGAATCCTTCGGGAAAGTACGAAAAGCCTTCGGGAAAAGTGCAAGACCAGCAGTCAAGAAAGAAAAAGTGTAGGGAAGTGATAGGGAAAAGTGATTACTCTCTCACGGAACGGTTTGAAGATAATTGCTGTTTTATTCCCAAGAAATTCATCCCTCAAAATTATACAGTCCACATCGAAGAATTAAGGCGTTGGGACCGGGACGACTTCGGAAGACCCGTAATCCCCGTCTGAACCTACTTGCTGAAAAGGAAGAGGTTATCGCCCTTGTGTGTTACTCCGTTGCGGAGATCACATACGTTGTTCCCGAACCCAACGTAGGCGTTATAGGAGGCCGGATCGAGAGAAGCCTCGATTCCTCCCTTCTGTTTCTTAATCCCCCGGCTGGGTTCCTTTTCAATATTGTTCCCCACATTCTAATGTTGGCCCCAATAACTTAGGTTAAGTATTTGCTGATTATTTGTTGTTTGAACAACAGCCATTCCATGGTCTCGACTCGGACCTCTCTGGTAAACTACCTACCTGGAAAAAATATTAAGATAATTAGCCACATGTATTGATTGCACATATTATACGATGTTTTTGCACAAGGTTGTTGTAATAGATACTTACTTTAATATGCACTGGTAGTCCATCCACAGAGTTAATAAGCTTTAAAGAGAGTTGTTTACACAAATACATAACAAAATCTTTAAGCATCCGAAACTGGCGTAGAAATTCGTTGTCGGGGAATTCCAATAGATTAAGTACCTACTCTGATCACGTATCGATCGCCGATGTAATTTTCTTTCTTGTTTTTCAATTTCTGGTACGAAAATGTACTTAGTTGCGATAGGCTCGAAACATCTTTTTTGTATTAAAATGGTTTAAAGATAAACTTAAATAAAATTGTCCCTTTCAAATGTCAAAAAGGAATAATTTTTTCTCTTTCCTTGGGCCCCATGCTACGGACGGGGGATATATGTCTACTCGTTACGTCAAACGGGATTATACTATAGTGATAAGATAATTTTATCTCTTGTCCTGTTGTAATAATTTTTGTGTCCTACCAATGCTCGCAGGGTGGATTAAACCGAGCAATTCGAATTCACTTTCAGATTTCTTAATCATTTATTAAAAACTGTATGCGATTACGGTTCCTGTAAACTATATTGTGAATTCACTCATTTATGTTGTTCTCAGGAGTGATCCACTTACGATATTAGGTGGACTGTGTGATCGTTTAGAATATGGGTGATCCATATTCTATATAAAAAACATGTCAGGACCTGAAAATGTAATACCGCTTCTTGACCCACCGATATAAATTATACTAAGAAGTATTGTATTAAAAGGAAGAGCAATGAAAGACAGTAGTAAATTACTTAATCTATTATTTATTTACTGAGCAGACGATGATCGTTTAAAATAAATTATCAGTCTTATGTTTTTAATACGAGAGTACATACCTATTCTATATATACAAATATTTACATTTCACACTTTTAATAGGAATCTTTGACTAGACTGTTAATCCATTTCCTCCACTGTGGGACCATTGTGCTGGCCACCAGGCATACTTCCAGGCATACCACCAGGCATACCAAATGGCATACCCCGGGCATACCAAAAGGCATACACCAGGCATGCCCCCAGGCATACCTCCGGGCATACCCCCGTCGGGACGGGCATACCTCCGGGCATACCTCGGGCAACCTCCGGGCATACCTCCGGGCATACCGGGCATAGGGCACCTCCGGGCATACCCTCCGGGCATACCTCCGGGCAGGGGGGGTCCGGGAACCTCCGGGCAACTGGGCATACCTCCGGGCATACCTCCGGGCATACCTCCGGGCATACCTCCGGGCATACCTCCGGGCATACCTCCGGGCATACCTCCGGGCATACCTCCGGGCATACCTCCGGGCATACCTCTGGGCATACCTCCGGGCATACCTCCGGGCATACTTCCGGGCATACCTCCGGGCATACCTCCGGGCATACCTCCAGGCATTCTTCCTGGCATGCCACCACCCGCACCGTGCATCTTGCTCATGATGGGCGAGCACACTCGCTGTAGCTCCTTCAGCCTGTGTTCGTACTCCTCCTGGTCTGCGAGGGTGTTGTTGTCCAGCCACTTGAGTGCATCGTCACACTCCCGGCGCGCCGTGCTCTTGTCAGACTCGCTCAGCTTGTCTCCCGCGTCGTCTAGCGCCTGCTTCACGCCGAACACGTACGTCTCCAACTGGTTGCGGGCGGCGACCCTCTGCCGCTGCTTCTCGTCCTCTTCTTTGTAGCGCTCGGCTTCGGACAACATGCGGTCAATTTCGGCCTGCGACAAGCGTCCCTTGTCATTCTTGATCACGATGTTCTTGCTGCGACCCGTGCTGTTTTCTTTGGCCGAGACGTTCAGGATACCGTTAGCGTCCATGTCGAAAGTGACGTCGATTTTGGGGACGCCGCGCGGCGCTGGTGGGATGCCGGTCAAATCGAACGTGCCCAGCAGATTGTTGTCCTTGGTCATCGCACGCTCACCTTCATAGACTTGAATCGTAACTGCTGGCTGGTTGTCAGAGTATGTGGTGAAGGTTTGAGACTGTTTGCAAGGAATCTTCGAGTTGCGTTCGATGATTTTGGTCATTACGCCCCCGGCTGTCTCGATACCGAGAGACAAAGGAGCTACGTCCACCAGCAATACATCCTGAATCTTTGAATGAGATTCTCCACTGAGGATTGCGGCTTGCACGGCGGCACCATACGCAACTGCTTCATCTGGGTTGATAGATAAGTTCAGCTTCTTGCCACAGAAGAAATTCTGAAGCATACTTTGCACTTTTGGAATGCGAGTGGAACCGCCTACGAGCACGACATCGTGGATCTGGCTCTTATCCAATTTTGCGTCCTTAAGCGCCTTTTCAACTGGCTGCAAGGTGTTTCGGAACAAATCTGCGTTGAGCTCCTCGAAGCGAGCGCGGGAGACGCGCGTGTAGAAGTCGATGCCTTCATAGAGCGCGTCGATCTCAATGGTGGCCTCGGTGCTAGACGACAGCGTGCGCTTGGCGCGCTCGGCAGCGGTGCGAAGGCGACGCATGGCGCGCGGGTTCGAACGCAGGTCCTTCTTGTACTTGCGCTTGAACTCGTCCGCGAGATGGTTCACGAGTCTGTTGTCGAAGTCCTCGCCTCCCAGGTGCGTGTCGCCGGCCGTCGCCTTCACTTCGAACAGAGAGCCTTCGTCGATAGTCAGGATCGACACGTCGAAAGTACCACCTCCGAGATCGAAGATCAACACGTTGCGCTCCCCTTTCAAGTTCTTGTCCAAGCCGTAAGCCAGAGCAGCAGCCGTGGGCTCGTTGATGATGCGCAACACATTCAGCCCGGCGATGGCGCCCGCGTCCTTCGTGGCCTGACGCTGCGAGTCGTTGAAGTACGCCGGCACGGTGATGACGGCGTCACGCACCGTGGTGCCGAGGTACGCCTCCGCCGTCTCCTTCATCTTCGTCAGCACCATGCTGCTGATCTCCTCCGGCGCGAACGTCTTCGTCTCACCTTTAAACTCTACTTGAATTTTGGGCTTCCCACAGTCGTTGACCACTTTGAATGGCCAATGTTCATGTCTTGTTGGATCTTTGGGTCGTCGAATTTGCGCCCGATTAACCTTTTGGCGTCGAACACTGTGTTGCTGGGGTTGAGGGCCACCTGGTTCTTCGCCGCATCGCCGATGAGTCGCTCCGTGTCGGTGAACGCTACGTAGGATGGTGTAGTCCTGTTGCCTTGGTCGTTCGCGATGATCTCCACGTTGCCATGTTGCCACACTCCAACACACGAGTAAGTCGTTCCTAGATCAATTCCAATAGCTGGCATTTTTTTTTCTTTTAACTTTAAACTCTCACTAATAAATACGTCAACAATAATAGCGCTTGTAAATTTATTTCGGTAGACACCGAACTCTCCCCTTCGTCTTTCTTGTATTGTATTTCAAATTATACTGACTAACCGCGGCCACCGTCGCGCTTTTATATTGAACGAATCGAAATCTAGAAAAGTCGAGGCGTTTCAAGAAACATCCAATCAAATCGTTTACTTTCAGGAATGTTCTAGAAACGACGACGACAGCCAATGAGAGTCGAGCGTTTTATCACCGTAATGAAATAGGCCAGCTATTATACCAGGCGCAGAAATTTTCCCAACTTTTAAGGACATTTACTTTTTGTATTTTAAAGATAATTATAAATACACCCAGCATTACAAATATGAAGATTTTTTATATTTCTGTATAGGCCTATGTAGTATAAGATTATCTCTTTTTGACAACAGTATGAGGGACTAACTAGTTAGTGTAGTTCACCAATGATACGTTTTCACTCAATTCAAATAAAATTTAAAAGCTATTACAACTGAAGGCTAAGATGGAATGCCTTACAGCCAGTCATTGTGCTGATTCTCCTATCCTTTAAACAAGATCACAAGATTGAGCGGACCAAACTCTACTTAAACAATTGTCAAAATTTTAAATCTTATTTAACAGTCATATGTTGAAAGGTTTACACTCCACAAGACATAGATGACACAGTTTCGGTGACTGAAAGAGGAGAGATTTTAGAGTTTTATAGTAATTTCAGTTAATTTAATTTTATACGCGATTGCAACTATGTGATAAATTTTGTTTTGTGACTGGTATGATATGTAATTTCTAACTTTGTTGAAAGGGTATATGAATTAAATATGTTGCGCTCATTTTTTATATTTTTATTTTTCATATTCAAAGCTTATTATAAATATTACATACAAATCATGTAATCGTATTATTTAGCTTTATGGGGTATATTGAAACAAAACTTATGGCAATACTTTACAGACTACAGAAAAGAGTTCGATGCCATATATGAAAGAGACAAACGACGTTGGACACATTCCAGCGTAGACAGAGAAAATGCTATCTCTTTCTACGCATACCAGTAATAGATTTTTTTAAATTTTCATAGCGAGCTATGGAGAGGTCCTTCCCTGGTCAAGCCAATCATAGTTTCTGTGATAGTTTCATATCTTTGAACCACAGAAAACTGTACTTTCTAAAATGTGTACCTACGTATCTAAGTATGTTGCCGCACTCTGGTGTATGTATCTGTGCCATCTTGAATTACTTGAAACATTTCACTCCATCTATGAGAGAAGAATAGTCGACACCTCATTACAGTTGGTTAAAACATGGTTAAAACCGATTTTTTTGAAAGCTACAGAATAATAATTATATTATGGCATTTAATTAGTAATTTTACTTGTAAATAAAATATATTCTAATGAAAATTATCACTAAATTTGTAATTAATATTAAGTAGTGCACATACGGGAATAATCAATTTGCGAATTAATACTATTTAACTTTTTACGAATTATTTATTCCGATTATTACTCTGTTACGTTCTTTGGCATTTAAGTTAGCTTTCTTTCCAAAATAGTACCATAAAATATACCTGTTTAAAAGTGTCGTTTATAATATATTGTACCTAAATTTTTCTTGAGAAATAATTGATATAAGATTGAGGAAATGTTATATTTGTATGGCGGTGGGGGGTAGTGGCGTAACAGAACTCTTTTCATTAAAGTTTATTTTTATGGCTACCAATGATTCAATTAGCCATTATGGAGATCACTTAGAGTTATTTAAAATGTGCTTTATATTTGTTTATAAAGCATTTTAAATATATAAATAAAAGTTGTAAAAAGTCATAAATCGCAGCGATGCAGATGAGGTCTACATTGTACCTACCTATATTAAAACAGCGCCATCTATTAAAAACTGTAAAAAAAGTAATATGTTTTCCTTCCAGCCATTAAGAGGATAGAGTAAGTCAGCTCAAATTCTAATTTCGTCCCCACTTGCCCGCGCGTCGTATGCTATGTACCGACATGTTTGTAATCACTACTACTGTAAGTAGAAAGGTCGTTAGATACTTATTTTATTAGGTTTATAATATTTATGCCTGTTTCTTAACGCCAAGCCAGCCGCTTCGTATTTTTATCACGGTTATTTCCCATTTTAAATTTACGTCGTACTGTTGCGTAATGTATATTCTGATTGTAAGCGACACAACCTCCCCGTTCAAAGGCCGAGGGCCGAGGCGAAGTGACCGTGCTGCAGGAATCACGCTTCAAAAGGCTAAGCTTTCCATTGACGTCCGTCGAGTTGGGGGTTGATATTTTTTTTACAGAAGGATGACATTAATATAAGCACACACGCAAAGTTTTAACATGCGGAAACGCGTAGTTTTTGAGAAAAAAATTATCGAAAATCAATGGTTTTTGCAATATTTATGTCAAATCCTACCATAGATTATATCGTATTACAGATATATCACGACATTGAATGTTCCGTTTTAAGTACGGTTAACTTGTCAAATGTTGGGTGACATTTGATTTTATAAAAATTTACGTAAATAATTATATTTTGTATCCATTTTAATAGTTTTCATGCATGCATATATATTTTAGCAGTTTATATTTAACTAAATAACAATTATTTTCATTACGAGCTATTAAAATTAAAATGTGCAGTGTTTACGGTCTTTTCCCGGCTTGTGGAACGAAACGTAAAACTGACGCTATTTGGTGTTGTCAGTGTCTTCCTCAGTCACTGTCATCGTTTGTGTTCCTAGCAGTTGAGATCGTTTACGTACTCCTGTCGTGAAAACAACGTTTGACTACCATCATGGCGTCTCCGAAGCCCCAAGTTTCGTGTTCTGCTGTGCCGTCTGTAGAATTGAGTGTAGTGAAAGTGTTGGACTCTGATGAGCCACTTGTCGCGAGCTCTTCTGCAGGCACCCCCTGTGTGCAAGTGTTGGACTCTAGTGAGCCACTTGTGCCCATGACTGTGCTATCGAAATCAATAGCTGGTAGTTCCCGCGCCACTGTACCCAGTACCGTGTCGGTACTGTCGCCTGCGTCTCCAACGTCGTCTGAGAGCAGCGTGGCTGATGCGGAACCTCAAGCTCCTGGTTCGTCTGGCCGAAGAGTCCACTACTATGCCGAGGAAATAAGGTTGGTTCACTGCTAAATATCGCAAAGATCCTTTCTTACAAATAGTGGCAGCCATAAATTATGTTTATAATTTAAAGTAGTTATAAAAGTTAATATTTTGGTGTTATATTGGGTGCAATAGCGAGCGAAGCGAGCCTAGGACGTGGGGCACCCCGACTCGGACAGGTTAGGTTAGAAGGAGATGACGGGGTCGAGTGAGCGAGCGAAGCGAGCGAATAGACCCCGTCATCTCCTTCGTGGTTATTTTTTGTAAACCATTCAGAAGCAGGAGCCCCGCAAAGCGGGGCTCCGTCGACTGGGCTTCCCTCTACTGCACCTCGTTAAGTGGCGTGGGGCTTCCGTCCCCCAACTCTCTCTCCCCATAAATCAGGTTAAATTGTCATAAAAATTACGAAACATAACCTCAAAATGAGATTTTTAAAAATTTATAAAAAAAAACTAAGCACGTCCGGCAGGAAGGGGATGTAGGGGGTGACTCTACAACTATTCTCCCTCCCCCCACACCACCCCCACACCCTAATTCAGGAGACCGAATTGTAAACCTTACCCGTGGTTTCTTATATAGCACATATGTAAACTTCACAGAAAAAGCTGACGAGTAAAACAGTAATTAGATTTCTAATAGGAATATTTTTGTTTGTTTTAGGTGCCATTGCAACATGTATAAAATCATAACCCGGCTCAACACCCCAGCTCAGTGCATTGCATTTGCTGAAGAGCATAGGCTCCTTCTTACAGAAAAAATGAGCACATGTCATAAGAGACCTATGACGTTAAGCTTCAGCAGTAAGACTGGTCAGCTTGGCATATTTCGATGCAGGAAGAGTAATTGTCGCTCTAAGGCAGTGAGTCGGGCAGCGGGAACATGGTTCGAGAATGCGCGGCTGTCCATTGAGTTACAATTTTTACTGATGTATATGTTCAGCCAAAAATATAGTTATCATCAAGTTAAATTAGAGACAGCCCGTGAAGATAAAGAAACAATTTTATCAACAAGGACAATAACTGACTGGTTTTCTTACTGCCGAGAGACAGTAGTAGTTTATGAATTGGAGCACCAAGAAGTTAATGGCAAGATTGGTGGTCCAGGCAAAATCGTGCAAATAGACGAATCAAAATTTGGAAAACGCAAGTACAACAGAGGGAGACACATTGAAGGCCATTGGGTGCTGGGAATGATAGAAAATGGGAAAGATGATTTGAGATTAGAAGTGTGTCCCGATAATGATAGATCTGCGGAAATGTTGGTGCCACTAATACAAAAGCATGTGGAGGTAGGCACTGAAATCCATACCGATTTTTGGAGAGCCTACGATTGCCTACCTCAATATGGATATATACATAAAAAAAGTTAATCACAGCGACCCTATAAATAAATTTGTGGCACCAGATGGGACACACACACAACGAATAGAAAGCCACTGGCGAAATTTAAAAGTGATGTTCGGTAGAGAAGGTTATAAAACAAACTTTACAGACTGGCTAATTGAATATTCTTGGCGAAGGAAAATAAAAATAGCACATAAAGATGTTTTCATAGAATTAATTAAAGCAATACAATATGTATATAAAATTGATTAATAAATTATGAATTTTATTTGATTTATTTTAAAAGTAAGTAAATAAAATAGGTTAGGTTTAACTTATGTCGAAGAACCGAATTGGTTGACCCCGACTCCACTTGGTACAAGTCTGTCCTACCCCTAGAGTGTTATTATAGAGCCGGAGGCGCGTAGGGAGAGCAGCCTCCGCCTGCTGTAACAAATACCTGCCTGCGATTTGTTACGCAAAGGCGAAGAGGCTGCTCTTCCCGCAGCGCCGTAGACATTGCAGTCTCAAAATAGACACAGAAATCCCTCTCAATCAGTCCCCCTATTTTTTTTTCTGATGAAAGGGGTTCCCCCTTCCGTAGGGGGGAACCCCCCCCCCCAAGGAGGAGTCCTGGTTTTTTACACTTAATATTAATCCTTAAAATGAGGAAAATTTTCTCAGAATTAAAAATGAAAAAACTCGAAAAGGGGGGGGGCTCCGCAACTTTTCCTTTTAAGGGGGGGTATTAAACCTCCCCCCTCCATCCCCCTCCCCCTCCCTCCTCAATTCGATGGACGTCAATGGAAAGTCGTACCCTCAACTTTACCATATATTTATTTCAAAATTAATGCTGCAATATTTTCGGCATAACGAAGGATCTTGCTAAGCCATTTGAGATTATATTTCCCCTTAATACTATACTATTATATATTAATGAAATGTTATCTCATGTAAATAAATAAAATTTACATGAGAGGTTTTTTATTAATTTGTGACATAATATTTTTGTGGACGCCTGATGAATTTTGTTAGCAACCATTGGCCTCAGATAGTATTATTTTTTAATTATAACATTCTATGTATGTACTGTACTATTCACGGTAATTTTAATGGTCACTAGTTACCATCTGGTTATTCGTTGTATCTTCGGCTTAAGCGAGCAACCCGGGTCGATTCCCGCCGGCACCAATAAAATTGTTAATTGCAAATTTAATATAATAATAATAATGATTTACCACATGCTCGGCGGTGAAAGAAAACATCGTAACGAAACCTTCATGTCTGAGAAATAAGAAAAAAATGTGTTGAGAGATATGTGAAGTTCGCCAACAAGCATTGGGCACCGCGGTGGACACTTCTTTGCTCCAAAACCCCTCTCAATAATGAGAGGAGCCTTGTGCTCAAAAGTGGGACGTATATAGGCTGTAACTTTAACTCTTGCATTATATAGTCATTTGCCGGATCAATCTCTTTTATTATTTATTAAAATGTATAGACAAATTGTCGTACACCCCATGGACACTACAAGCTCATACTCTGGCGTCACGACTCATCTGAACCGGTGAAAATGTATCAGTTAAATACTGTGACATACGGAACGACTAGTGTGCCTTTTTTTTGCTACTTGATATGTAAAGTAAATATGTCTCGGTTGTAAGGACAAAATTTTATCAGAGATTATTTTGCGTGATTGTGGAATACTATACATACATAATAGAACGGGGGAGTGGGTGGAGCCCGCGTAGAATCAGAATTTTATTTTTTATTGCCAATAAACTGTGTAGGTATGTACAAATTGCGGGTGGCATTGCAATTAAATGTTACACGGTTTACCCATATCGGGTATGCAATAATTAAGAAACAAAACCTAATATAAATTATTTGGTATTAAAATATTCATTTAAATTATAAAAAAACATTATGTATTAACCATTTTTTTTCCATGGCTTTTATATGAGGTGGCAGATGATTAAATATTTTAATACCTGTGCAAAAGGTGCTCTTATAATACATATAATTATTTATTGTAGGTGTACATAAATTATGGTTATATTTACTGCGTTTTGGACCTGAATTCCCGTTAGATTTAATCTGAAAATAGTTGCCATTATGTTTGATAAAAGTGATATTTCTAAAATATAAATATTAGTGAGAGTGATAATGACTTTTTCTTCGAATACATTTCATAGAGTTTCATTTGAGTACATATTATAAATGACCCGCAGACATCGCTTTTGCAGAATAAATGTTGACTGCACGTTTGTAGAATTACCCCAGAAAATAATACCGTAAACTAATAGAGGGTACACCTGGCCGAAATATGCAGAACTTGATACATCAACGGAGGTTGTTTCTGCTAATATGGATAATGCGTAACTGTAGCTAGAGATTTTTTTGTTTATTTTTTCAATATGAGATTTCCAATTTAAATGACAGTCTATGCTGACTCCAAGAAATTTAATGTTGTTAACTATTTCTATTTGGGTGTCTATATCTGCTATATTTAAATTTAAAGAATTTGTTTTGTAATTTCTGAATTGAATTATTTTAGTTTTTGTTAGATTAACGTTTAAATTAATTTGTTTAAGCCATTCAACTGTTATTTTTAAAGTTTTATTTATATTATTTTCAAAATTCATTTGAGTATCAGGTATAAAGATAGTTGCATCACCAGCGAACATAACACATTCATTCAGTCATGTCAGTGATATTTGGCAAGTGCCATTTGCGACATCTTGAATTACTTGAAATAATTCACTTCCACTCCATCTATGAGAGAATAGTCGACACCTCGTTACAGCTTATTTTGAAAGCTTTGGCAGAGTATTTCTATTGCATTTAAACTTATTATAGTTAGGTACTTTTGCTTATTATTAAGAGGTTGTCCGAGGACATAATATATCCATTGATTTAATGCTTGGCCTGTCTCATTCGCAAGGTCGATAATAGTATTTTATGATTTGTAAGTCATACAATGTTCCGGTGCTGTCAATAAAGCTAACATATTATAAACCGCTGGATCACTCAAATAATACAAAATAAAATCTTATTATTATAAAATGTTTACGAACTGACATATTTGTTGAGAATAAGTCCATACTTAATACAATTATGAGTAAATATTTTTTTTGGATTTTAATATTTCGTAATTCAGAGAGACATGAGTAAAAGAAATGAAATGAAATGATGAAAACGAACACCGAACTACTTGGTAGGTACCTACCATTATTTATTCTGTGACAGAGACCAGAAAGCGCAATTTTTAACTGACTTAAAAAAAAAAAACAGGATTTCAATTTGAGCGTAATAATATTATGTTCTCTTTTTGTAAATGTTATCTTTGTCATTTGAGGACTTTAATGATTTATTTAACTAAAAAATTTATTTTTCCGACGTGCTCCTACAGAAATTTGGAGAAAAGATGAAAAATCGTGGATGACTTTTTAAATGTAACTGTTTAGGTAGACAACATTAGAGTTTTGATGAAAATTTGTATGTCGTGTAAATAATTACTTTAACAATAGATGACTAATTATTTACACAATAGATGCCATGTTTTCAATATTATACGCGTTATACCTAAGTATAAAAACATTATAGTAGATTAATTGAATTATTATTACTTCATAAGTAGGTTATTTAAGATGGTATAGATCATAATGTATTTATAAATATTATAAAAAAGGCGA